AGAGTAAAGAAGTTTATTGGGACTGTACCTATTACCGAAAGTTTGTGAAGGACTTTGCAACTATAGCTGCTCCACTACATGATTTGACCAAAAAAAGGCCAGAGGTTCGAATGGACAGTTTTTTGCCAGCGTGCTTTCAAGACATTGAAAGAAAAATTGGCCTCATTTCCACTTTTAAATCTTCCAGATCCCTCACTGCCATACATACTGGATTGTGATGCTAGTAATGTTGGGATTGGAGGAATGTTGTCTCAGAAAGTGGGCGAAAACGAACATGTGGTGGCCTACTTCAGTAGGGTCCTGAGTCGACTATTGTATGACACAGAGGGAACTCCTTGCTATAGTAAAGAGTCTGACATATTTCCATCCTTACCTCTATGGGGCTAGGTTTACCATCAGGACAGACCATGCTGCATTACGGTGGTTAAGATCAACTAGCACGTTGAATCGGAGAGATACACCAGTATAATTATGATATTGAATATAAAGAAGGAAAATTTCCTGGAAATGCCGATGGACTGAGCCAAAGATCCTGTAAAAATGACTGCAGACATTGCTGCAAAAGAGAGGTTGGGCTAACTAGGTGCCATCAAGCTGAAATCAAAGTGACTGAGGGAGTTGATGATGACGAAGGGGAACCAGGTATAGATATTAAATCAGAGCAGGAGAAAGACCAAGATCTGAAGCCATTAATTGATTTTTTAAAAGCAAGTGTTTTGCGCCCTGCTTGGGAGAAGGTGTCTAGCCTAAGCCCTGTGACAAAGAACTATTGGGCACAATGGGACCAGTTGAAGCTTGAAGATGGTATTGTTCTCCGGAGATGGGAAACTGCAGATGGCAAACGGTTATACCGAGACAGTTACGTGAATTTGTACTGCGTCAATCCCATGATAGTTTAACAGGATGACATCTCGGAGTTAAGAAGACATTGAGTCACCTACGACAGAGATTTTACTGGATACGTATGAGGCAAGATGTGGAAGAATGGTGCAGAACATGCAGTACATGTTGTGCTAAAAGGGGACCCAAGCATAAAGGACGTGCTCCAATGAAGTTATATCAAGTTGGTGCACCAATGAAAAGAGTAGCCATTGACATTGCTGGTCCTTTGCCCCAAACTCGTGCTGGAAACAGGTACATTTGTGTGGTGATGGATTATTTCACCAAGTGGCCTGAGGCATATGCAATACCAAATCAGGAAGCTGCAACTGTAGCTTCGGCTATTAGTGATTTCTTCTTCAGGTTTGGTATGCCATACGAACTGCATTCAGATCAAGGCCATAAATTCGAATCAGCTGTGTTCCATGAATGCTGCAAGTTGTTTGGGGATTGTAGAAAATTACAACTGGACATTGGGACAAGACTTGGCAAAGTTTTGTAATAGCCACCAAGATGACTGGGATGTCTTACTCCCTCCACTGTTGATGGCCTATAGAACAGCAGAGCATGAAGCCACTGGATATACTCCAATAAAGATGATGCTTGGTCGGGAACTTCGGTTGCCATTGGACCTGAAAAGAGGATACCCACCTTAAGATGAGTTGCCTGAGAATGTGTCAGAGTTTGTGAAAATGTTATCAGAAAGGATGGATGATATTCACCATCAAGTGTATTCAAACTTGAAAACGTCTGCTGATTCGATGTTATGATAAGAGATCTTCTGAAGTCAGCTTTGTACCAGGAGACAAGGTGTGGTTGTATAATCCCAGGAAGACCAAAGGGAAGTCTCCGAAGTTGTCATCTCCATGGGAAGGCCCATATGACATAGTGGATCATCTCTTAGACGTGACTTTCCGAATAAAATGTTGTCGGCGAGGTAAGCCAAAGGTGGCGCATGCCAACAGGCTTTGGCGTTATCACGGTCCAGGACATTTCAGTTGGGATGAAATGAACAATGGAACAAATGACGCTGCTGAAGACGTGTCACCTGAAAAAGCCACTGTCGAAGAAGAAACTCTACTCGGTTTTGAGAAGGGAAACAGTGAAGCCCTTGATGAAGTTACTACAACTGATGTGACTGTTACCGATGATAGGACAATTCCCAATGGAGCAGATGATCCCCTCGTGAAGCAGAAGCCAACGAGATGGAGACCAGTACGGAAGAAGATACGCCCCCATAAAATTAAGTGACTTTGTTGAATTTTAATTTTTGTGTTTGTTGTGTTTTAAATTCTGTACATTGAATTAAGTTATTGTTAATTATCTATTGGTTTAATGTAAGTGGCTATTGTTTGGGACAAACAATACTAAGGAAGGGGCAGTGATACGACAGTGGAAGTCACTTGACGCTAGTAACACGTCATGAGATTCTAGAACGATTATGTCTGTTCGTAGCACCTCTAGTCTTTTCTGTGCGACCTCAATTTTTGTATGTAAGTGCACCAGATGTAACAGTATTTAATTCGCTTTGAAATTTACTAATGTTTTCCATTTGTATTTCTTGCCATTGTTGTTGACTTTCCTGTAACTGTTGGAGACTTTCTTCCTGTTTCCTTTCTTTTTCCAGTTGCCACTGCTGTAATCTCTTATCTTGTTTATTTTCTTTCTCCTCCAACCACTGCTGTAGTCTCTCTTGTTTATTTTGTTGTTCGAGCTGCCACTGTTGCAGATATTTTTGCCACTGCTGTTGTCTCTCTTCTTTTTTCGTTTCTCATTCTTCTTGTTTCTTTTCTTTTTCCTCCAACAACTGCTGTAATCTCTCTTCTTGTTTATTTTGGTGTTCGAGCTGCCACTGTTGCAGGTTTTCTTGCAACTGCTGTTGTCTCTCTTCTTGTTTATTTTCCCATTCTTCTTGTTTCTTTTGCTGTTCTTGTATTGCTGCCATCAAATCTGTTAAGCTGTAGTTTGATTTGCCACCTCTGGTTTCCATCTTCTTCTTCTTTTTTATTTTCCATTCCACTCTCTGACACCAATTTGTTACGTCTTTGTTCGTTTGTTAATTTTCTGTAGAAATTCATTCCCAGAAACTTCAGCGATACAAGTCCTTTCTTAAATAAAACTAGTTTATTCTTTCTCATTACAAACTTTGTAATACACTTAATTTCCACAGTCACTTTAATTTAAACACACGCTATAATTCCCATACGATTAATGTGCTTTACTTACGGTGCGTACCGCCCGCTTGACTCAACTATCCGTGTCTATATCTTCAATCTCTCTATCTGCGATTCCAATTCTGATTAATTGTCTCGCTTTATCTGGCGCGCTTATATACAGGAATAGAGGGCGTCTAGCAAATACTGGATTATTCATGATGTTACCTGATCCTTCTAGAAACTCATCACGTGTTACCAGAGTCACGTGACTTCCGCTGTAGTAACAATTTATAAACCATAGGAACGCAATCCCAGTCTCGTGTGCACCAAATTAAGGAATTTTTACTTGAGCGAATCTCTGAGTTGAAACCAAACTGAAAGAAAAATATAAATAATATATATATATATATTATTAACTAATGGAATAATAAACATGTGGTTTTGTCCTGTACCACGATAATAATGTATTGTTACCGCAACGGAAGTCACGTGACGCTGGTAACACGTAATGAGTATCTGGAACGTTCCTGAAGGCTCGAGTGTTTGCTAGACACTCTCTATTTAGTATATATAAGACCGGCGAGAAGTGACAGCATAAGTAATTGAATTGCAAACAGGCAGAGATAGAGACGGACAATTGAGTCAAGCGCGGTAGTAAGTAAACTGCGTGAATCGTTCGTTGTGAATTATAGCGTATGTTTAAGTTAAAGTGACTGTGGAAATTAAGTGTATTGCAAAGTTGAGTTGAGAAAGAATAAACTAGTTTTATTTAAGATAGGACTTGTATCGCTGAAGTTTCTCATAAATAATTTCTAAGGAAAATTAACAAACGAACACAGAGACGTAACAGTATTAAATGTTTAAAATCTCTAAAATAGTTAATAACGCTGAAACAATGGTTTTCTCTTAGACTTTATAAGGAACGCCACCTTTTATTACAGCTGAGAGTTTTTAAATTATAACGATATTTAAAACTGTAATTCTACATATAATTCTTTATGTAACCAGTTGTTTGCAAAAAAATATATTTATATATTTAAAAATTTTTTTTCGGTTAAAATATTACAGAGGGCCAAAACACGGTTCAGTGGACAAAACGCGACTGTTCTATGATTTGTTCAGGTTTGGATTGATATCTCTCCTGCTTTGGAACTTAAAGTTCATGTATGAGTGATATCATCATCATCTAAACAAAGTAATAGTTTAGGTTATTGTTTGTAGGCCTATCTATACTTGATTGACAAGGTAAATTAGGTAAAAAAAAAAAGAGAAGAAAAAAGTTTAGTGATCTGTGCAAGCATCAAACTTGGTTTTAAAATTTAACTAAGTTTATATTACTGAAAGTGAAAAGCAAAGACTCCCCTTTTTTCAAACTTCACCCTCTACATTCCAGTGTCTACTGCATTTTATGTTTTTAGTTTTAGTACTAACTAGTAAATTAATAGTAATATGTACTTCTAATTTGTTATCGAATAACGAGTAACATTTACAAACTGTAATAAAAAAGTTATCTTGCGAAGTGCTGATTTGAGGACACAGAAATTAGAAAAATAGAAGTTAGAACAGAGGCGTCGGAACCATGAATGCTTTAGGCTGTAGCACCCCCCTCTTAGTTACTCCTTCCAACACCACTCTAGAACTAGAAGTTAGTCATGTAGTATGATGAAGAAACGACTATAATTTATAAATCACACAACGAGGTTATAATTATAAATATAATTGACGTGTATAGTATTTAGTATGTTAGCTCGTGTTAGTAATTATGAGCCTAACACTAGCAGTGTAACTGTAACTTAGAAGTTTGCTCATGAAGTTGTATAAATGAAACGTTGAGCAAAATATATATAACATTATTCTGGAGTTTATGATCGTTTTTTCATCACAGTTAGTACTGTAACTTGTGTAAGCTGAGTACTAGTAGTTAGTATAGCTGGCTAGTTGTTAAAAAATAAAGGAATACTCAATCTGATATTTGGGCTACTACAAATAGTACTACTAGTGTACCAGTGGTCTACACCTTTCCTTTTGTCTGTTGGCAAACTTGGGGTAAATTTACACCTCACTTCTAAAATTCTAGCTGGCACTAGAGCAGTTTATAATTATAAATATAACTTAAAGATATATTTAATAAGTTATGGGAGCTTATTTCCATGTTCCAAAAGTGACAAAACATCTGGTCTCATTATTTGTGGATAAAGAGTGCTTCAATAGAAATTGAGCATAAGTAAAACTTCAAGTATATGTTAGCATTATGAAGTTTAAGTTATCAAATGGCATTTGTTAAATATATTTTACTTTTGTTTGATAGAATTTAGGTTTCTGTAACTGGAATTACCTTAATAACTTTGAAAATAAAGGTATGCTACACACATATACTTTAACTGATCTGTGGAAATCGTATCCCCTTGTATTATGTGTTACTAAGGTAGGTGGAATTGGATTTAGGTCAGATGGGGCAGTAGAGTAGCATTTGTTCCCCCCCCCCCCCCAGTAAATACAAGTGTATACAATGCATACAAATTTCAAAATTTCTTTTAATTGGGGCCCCCAAGTGTTCAGGGCCCTGGTGCAACTGCTTCTTCTGCCCCACCCTTAATATGGCCTTGAATATAAAAAAGTTACATTTTTACTTTGATAACCTTACTTCCTTTTTGTTTTATATATGAATATTTAATATTTTAGTACAGTTAATGATTATTATTATTATTAACGATAATCTTATGATTATTTGAAATTTCTGTATGCTTTTCAATTACATTTTAATAATTATTTATGCATTTTTTCATTTTCTAGCATAATTATGAGTAGTAAGTCTGTGAAAACATCTTATCCTGATAGATCAATAAGTCAGCCACAACAGAAATACCAGAAATTTCAAAACTCAGAAGATGGGAATGCCTCTGGTAAAAGAATAGTTCAAGCATGTTCAACATCACAAGATATGAGCCTCTTTAGCAGGAGCTATGAAGGAAGAAAGAGAGGACCGCCACTTGACTCAGAACCTAGTGATCATCAGGATGTAATGTAGGTTTTGAAATTTTAGTGTACATCCAAGTGTTTCTGACACTGCACATTTAAAACAGGTGATATATATAAGTGAACTACTGTAGTTAGAATAGTTGTTGAATTAAGAGACATTAGTGAGCTAATTCCCAAATCTTTAAAAGTATATAATGAAAAAATTAGTACCTATCTATTAAGTATTTACTACTAGTACTATGTATAGCCACTTTATACAAAAGCATTAGGTACGGCATTCAATGAAGTTTAATTTGAAAGGTACTTTTTGTATATTTTTCATTAGAATTATTGTGTAACAGGCCTAGGCACTCTGTCTGTTGGATGGGTAAACTTTTCTAGTAGTTATGAGTATCATTAGGAGTAATTTTGTGTGAAGTAGCTTTTGTGATCCCATCCTATATTTTCAGTTATGTATATAGTAAGCTGAGTTTTTAGATTTAAAATTCTAATGAGCTTCTAGAATACATATGCAAATGTAAATATTTTTATATGTAAAATCTACTGATTAATTTAACTATACATTTATGAAATATTTAATGCTTTCAAGGATTACAGCATGTAGTTTGAAATTTGACTGATTATGATGAACAAGACTAGGTTTTAGTGGTGTGAGTAAATAAATGATTTTTTCTTATTTTCTAGATAATTTTTTTAATTGAGAGCATATGTACAGTTATTCTATAGTCTTTGGTGTGTGGAAATATTAAATGAATGTTATTCTTCTGGCAATGATAATAACTAGTTGTGTGTAGGAACATAGTAAAAAAGAAGGAATTGAGCCAGTTTATTATTATTCAAGCTAAATATTGTCCTTATGCTTATCCAATAAAATTTAGAAAGATGTTGTGCTAACAGCATATCACATCATTAAGCAAAATATTCCACAAGTTTATTATTACTAATAACCAAAATCTGTTGGAGAGCAAGTTTACATTTAGTCTTCAAAAGTTTAAACCTATTACACCTAATATTTTAGATTTTATTTCCACTGTTTTTTTTCTTTCAATATTTTGTAACTCTAAATTTTCAAGATTCTTATTTAGTCTATGGCAATTTACCAGATAAAATGTTGTTGCACTCAGAATGCATTTACCCAAACTTACTTGAGTATGAATGAAGCTCAGAAGTGCTTATGCCCTTGTAATATATAAGTCTTAGCTATTTGATAACTTAAGCATGTTACTGAGCCAGGACAAAATGTACATTTTCAATTAAAGCACCATTAGACGAAGATTTTTGTAAATTTCCTTATTTTACTATGATAAATAGCTATCCCACATTCTGGAATTAGATAAAGTATGGCATGCATTGCTTATGTTGGTTGAAGAATAAACACTGAAGACTCGTAGTGAGTAAATAAGATTGCAAAAGTCAACATATATCTATAGGTTATGTGTAGGTACAATATTAGATGTACACAAGCTCAGTCACTGTAACAGTATTAAAAGAATAAGAGTGTTCATATTGTTATGTCTCCATTTGTTAATTGATTTTCTGTAACTTCGTTCCGACGAAACTTTAGCAACACAAGTCCTTACTTAATAAAATTGGTTTATTCTTTCTGAATATAACTTTACGATACACTTAATTTCAATATTCGCGCTAAAACAAACACTATAACGATGACTGCAGTTCAATTACTCATTACCTACACACACATAACATTATCCTCCCGTCACGTTGTCACCCTCTTTTATATACCAGACTACCCTATATCTAGTAATTGCTGGAGCATTCGCCAAGGTACAGGATAGTTCTAGAAACTAGAGGGCGTGAGAATAGTCACGTGATCTCGATGACGCAACAATATGTAAATTTTGAAAAATACCACTGTAACCTGTTTATATATGTAACTTTATTTACATTATAACATCAAGTAAACAAAAAAGAATATGTACATGCTTGTTTATGGAGTCGACACTTATGTGATCTCTCACTAGAGTCATGATTGTCATGCTTTGTGTTGTACGATGTGGCATAAGAACTTAAGAAAAATTAAGGGCACAAAATCCCATTTGGTAGTCACACTTCAACTCACAAAAACAAACAAGCAGAGCATTGTATCAAAGTTAAATGTAGCTCTTCACATGTATATACCCTATCTGACAAAACTTTTGGAATAATTCAAACTATCATTTCACACCACATTAGGAAAATTATTTTATAAGTTTGTCTAACCAAAATTTAACTTTGTTGAAGTACAAGTTTACATCTAGGTTTCCAAAATTGATAAAACCTATTACACCAAATATTCATGTTTATATTTTTCAACCTTTTCATTACACCTTAAACAGACCACCCACAGGAATTCTGTATAAACCCCTACAATTATGGACATCCAAATCAAGTTACTTATAATTTTACTACAATGTAAATAAAACAAAGTCAAAACTTTAAATCACTCCTAGTAGCTAAAGTAATTTAATTCAGGTATCATTCAAGAAGTTCATCTTTGCATTCATTCCATAGTGTTGATAAACTACATGTGCATCTAAACCATGCTGCTTAGCAGTGCCAGTTATTGGTATTTTTTGATATAATTTTAGTCAGTTGTTCCATGTTGTTTTCAGACATGTGAAAGAATCTGGATACTGAGATGCTTTTACTTCTTAACCTCTTTAGATTAACGTAACATGTAACATGCTTCTTCACAAAACACAGATAGAATGGGTTGTATTTGGTACAGTTGTACCAAAAATGGTAGCTTTGTACATGTAGCAGCAGAATTATTATTATACTTATAGGAAAATATTGTGGTGATAACTGGTTATTGGAATTAGATTAAAGATGAAAAATATTTTTACCTTATTTTGCTCATACCACTGTTTCATCTTATACTCATATAAAATTACTTAAGTACAAAGAAAATTAGTGTTACTGAGCTATTCAAAAATATCTTGTATTTTAATAAAAACTGTAGTAAGCCTATAATACATTTGTATTTAAGTGAATTCAAATAGCTGAGCTTTAAAGAAAGTATAAAAACATACATTATATGGGTAATTAGTGTCAAATTAAACTTACTTAATTTAAACTATGGCAGATTTACATTTGAAATCTATGCTTTTATTAGTTTTAATAATAAAAAACTGCCTTGTATAACTAATTTTACTAAATAACTTGTCACAATTAGCCTAGATATGGATTCATCATCATTACCAGCATTTGAAATAAAACTGTTAATTGACAGCTTATAAAGGTGAGAATGACATTTAAACAAATTTCACATTTGTAACTGATGTCTCAAAATAGGCAAGATGAAGTGATGTTAATTAAGCATTGAATTAAGTAGAAATTTGAGATATCAATGTATTGTATGTGCATGTGTCCAGATCTTGTAAGTCTGTATTTTTGCTTGGAAAGTCAGAAAAAATATTTTGGAAAGAATTTGGCCACACTTTAAGGGGACTAAAACTATACACACACTACTTCAAAAGAGGCCTCACTAATGTTGTACAAAATTGTATTAACTTTGGCTCTTAAATTCAAAATTCATAGTAATTGAACAAAGTACTTTGCTTTTTTCATCTCAATCAACTAAACACTAAGCAGTGGCCTTTTTAGTTTTATTCGTTTACACAATTCCTTTTTTTGTCTACAATTCCAGTATTTTTCTCACACTAGAAGTGCATCTATTCCAAATTTACTTTCCCAAAGTAGATAACTTCACACTTCTCAGTTTCATATTCATTTTATCCTTTCTGGCCCTGGCACCAAGAGTTTCAAGATCCTTTTGAATATGACAAATATTTTAAGTACAGTAGTTTTAAGTACCTAGTTCCAAATAACTTACATGCTGAAAAACCACCCTATTGAATTTCTAAACAAAAACTGACCATTCAAAGTATTGGTTACAATATTGTTGCGTCAGCGAGTCACGTGACTGGTGTGGCACCACCTATTTTCTAGAACTATCCTGTACCTTGGTGAATGCTATAGTATTTACTAGATATAGGGTAGTGTGGTATATAAAAGATGGTGACAACGTGACGAGTGAATAATGTGTGTGTAGATAGTGAGTAATTGAACTGCAGACACAGGGTATTGTTGAAGTTAACGTTCGTTCGTTAGTGTTTGTTTTAGCGCGAATATTGAAATTAAGTGTATCGTAAAGTTATATTCGGAAAGAATAAACCAGTTTTATTAAGTAAAGACTTGCGTCGTCAAAGTTTCGTCGGTACGAAGTTACGGAAAAATCAATTAACAAACGAAGACGTAACAATATATTATGTGCATATATACTAATAATACACTAAAAAGGGCACTAACATTTTCAGTATAATAATTCTAAAATGTCTAAAACAGCAATATTTCGTTTACTACCTACCTACCTGATCACATCAATGGGGCTAGCACCTAGATGGCTCGGACTATCACCATAAGATTTCTTCAGTTTACTTGACTAGTCTGTGGGTATCCGCTTTTGATATTCAATAAAATCCATATATATATATATATATAAATATAAAATCCATATATATATATATATATATACAGGTAAACATATCTTGCATCTACTTAAAAATATTTTCAACCAAACGGATGGCACTACATATGGATGGATAGACACGGGACAGTTTCTAAAGGTAAAGTACATACAGGTATAATATAAAAAGTAAACAAATGAGAGTATTAAAAATTATGAATTTTAAAATGAAGTAGTGATCCTGCTACAAAAATAATGAAACAAGAATTAAAACCATAATCACAAATTTATAAAATTTAATACCTACTTTGGCAACTTTTTACACTTATCTGTAGGCCAAAGTTGGGATTAAATTTTACAAATTTGTGATTGTGGCTTTAATTCTTGCAAACATTATAGCTATCGGGGATATGGCTATACTGAAAGTTTATAGATCTTGTGTCCATTCCATGAACATCTAAAAACTTAACAAATAAATAGGAAAAAAAATAAAATTTGAACAGAAAGTAGGGATCGTTGGTTATTTGTAGAACTGTTATAAAAAGCATCCAAAACAAAATAAATGCCACAATAAAAA